GTAATTCCTGCAGGGGGCCTTCCCTACTAGACGCTACAGACAATCTATGACGGTTGATTAAGTAACTTCGGTCATGAGTGTAGGCCATCGACTTCTAGCTTCATACGCGATAGCCCGGCATAGCTGGATGTCGTGATACCGAACGCAGTGGTGAGGGCCGGGTTATCTGTTCGCAACAGCCACCACGTGCCCAGAGCAAAGGCTGCCACAACTGTCTCCAGGCTACTTCCCTGAGGCTGACTGAAGAGCACCAAATTTGACTTTTGAGTTGTTGCCGCCATTACCGTTCAAAGTGACGGTACGAACATTACGAATCCGGTCGAACCAGGCAATGCACCCATGTGAACGGTTCATCTTCCGTCGGGGTGTCTCGCAAAACAGTCATCTTTTCCTAAAAATTTGGGCTGGACCTCAAGAAAACCCGTGAAGCCGAAAGCAAAGACCTTACCTCCCCACTTTGACCTGATCCGGCATCCCTGTGAGGGTTCTAATCCGCCTAGATCCACCTCCAGACGTCCTGTGAGCACATCAGGACATACAAACTGAATGCATGATTCCATCTTGTGACAATAACAAAACAAGATTTCGCCTCGCACTGGCTAAACTGCACGCTGCAGGCCTTGAAACTGCGTTTGCATGCGCCATATATTCATCATGCTCGGGGCATATGGTCCCTGGAGTGCGACACCATATAAGTATATTACAACACCTGAACTAAAAAATATAACATATACGGTGTCCTTAAAACACGATAGTGATCTACCAGCACCAAATGGCGAGTTTCAATTGTTCCGTAAAACTGCTATCGCCATCCTCGTGTAGATTAGCCCTCTACGCCTACTGAAGACCACCATGCTGCTCAAGCCTGGAGGCATCGTCACCCCCCCCCCCCCCTTTCCCCCTGGTGGGATGCATCTTTGTAACTGAGTTCAGTGTATGTATCCCGTCCTGCAGCAAGGTATGGGGTCTCGTCCTGCAGCAAGTGGAGTAGGTCGTCCATGTAAGGCGGAAGGTATCCGTCAGCGACCACTGCACTGTCTACCCATCGGAATTCCATAAGGACCCAAGTGCCGCAATAATTGCTACTCCCGACTGCTATCGGTACCGCCCATACACAGACGTCGACCTGTTCGATAATTCCATCAGTTTCCATCCTAGCAAGCTCTACCAGCAGCTCATCTTAGATGACGAATGTCAGTCTGCGCAGCCTGGGTTGGAACCCGGGTGAGGCCACACCGGACAGTTCAGGGGCATCGAACCTTTTAGTTTGGTTCCTTTTTCTCACTTTTCTGTCCACCAAACTGCATCGAATAAACACACTAGGTCGAACTTGATCTGTCAACACGTTGGGGTGCAACATACAACATACCACACTCATACCGCGCAGGTCAGGCCCGCACAGATCAGCTGTCTCGCAGACCTCAAGCTGGGCTGCACTAAAGCTACACAGCTCTATGTTAACCTGGGTAGTGGAATGTGACCCTTCAGCATGCTGAGTGGTGTCAGTGCGACAGGTGGGAGAGCATCATCACAAAATGTACAGAATGTCCCTCTTGCACAAGAAATTATCGCCTTGAAATCATACGGTCATTGAAAACACGATGATGCGCTGATAATACGTTCACTGCCCGCCCGGTATGGCCACACCCGCAGGGATTTGAGCTGAATTGGCCATGTTGAAGATCTTTCAGTGCAGTTTACAGTCCGGCCCTTCTATAAACCTAAAACTCACTAGTTTCTTAGGTATACGTCCGCGAAGATGTGCAGACTATTTCGTGTAGACCATTTCAAAGCTATTCGGGCACGTATGTCGCCAAAGCAACGCCATTGCCGCCTCACTGGTCATGCGGCGTTGAAGGCCAAAAACAATGTTATCGTTGAGCCGTTCAGAGTTGGTGTCTGTGAGCACAGTATCCCAATATGGTAGAGATCAATAAGCTCTCAATCAATGATGAGCAAGCTGTGCAAGTTTCAATCACAAATAACATCTTGTGTTACATGATATCAGAAGTTGGTCATGGCTGCTAGTTATTACGGAAGGTCGAGTCACTTAAAAGCGCGATAGCTGAACAAGTGAATACCAGTGCAGTTGTTAAACTCACCAATAAATATGCAAGAACGCCACGAGAAAGGGCCTAAAAGCACAAATATTTTGCTCAGTGAACAGTTCCACCACCGCCATTGCCATCTGCTAGCGAGTTAAAGTGCTACGTATGAGTGCTGGGGTGGCAATTTTCCGCTGCTAGTTTGGTAGCACCTCAACGTAATGCAAATGTTCCATGGCGTGATCAGACAATGACGCATCGAGGAAGATATGTACTACATAGGGAAATTGTGTTTCGTAGAGCAGTGTGCTCCACTTGAAAGTATATCAATAGTTATAATGATATGATATGATAAATAGGTGAGCTTATTTCATCATATCTGATGCTTCATTCCATATCCTTGATTAAGGAAAATTCCTTTAAAATATCATCTCTGTCATGCTACAGCATCAGCACAAACCACCAGCTTGTTCGTCTTCTGTATTTTAGAACAGAGGTCACGGGCCAAACCTGACATTTTATGCATTTTTTTTAAACTGGCGCGTGCACATGTTCTTTCCGGGAGATACGCTGCTAAATCGTAGTGTACGCAGGACACAACCCAAATCTGAGCGGTTTTTCATTTTATCAAAATGTTCGGCACACCGAAACCATATTTTAGACCAATGACGAGCGGCCGTGTGGTGACAGGGGTCCAGTAGGTCATGTGCCTGGGAGGCCGTGTGGTGACAGGGGTCCAGTAGGTCATGTGCCTGGGAGGATTGCCCAGGATGCGTAACTACGCACACCCCGGGAACACGCAGACAATTCGCCATCTGTCATGACATGGATTGGCAGTGGCCCTTATTTCTGCCTTTATCCTGACCTGAAGTGGTGCACGTGATAAGCGTGATTTACTTCGTTATGCAGTAGATGACCTCGGACGCGATTTAGCCGCAGGACGTCTGCTATGTGACTCCATTCCAGATTCTTCTCCGATGCAGCCGAGGAATCGCGTCCGCTAACCTCGACATCTCTCGACTATCTCTAAATGATGCATGCCAAGTTTATGATAAGTGTATGTTTATGGTACACAATAATATAACTGCTTACTTAGTAGCGATTTCGAAGCTACATGCACATTATTTTGGGTGCTAGAGGCCTCAAAGTCTTCAGAAGATTAAATTGATCAGGGAATATTTTACTCTACTTATAATAACACCAGTCTCATTAAAGTGAAAGGGATGATACTGCCATTGTGGCAGACTAAATGACGTCACAACCAGCTTCTGCTAGACTGAAATGTGCGCTCGCAGAAGTGAAACATGGCAATCAGACAGTAGCTGTACCAGGCTCCAGTTCTGCTTTGTTTTCTGCTAAGGTTTGCTTAAAACTGGCTTTGCTACAAATGATTAAGTACAACATCATGAAGGAATAAGGCACGACTGTCCCAAATACTGTTTTTTTTTGAAGCCTGTTTGTCTATTCAACATCTTTGTGACAAATTATTCAGTAGGCTAGTTCAAATGCCCGCGGTCTGTTGTTTGTGCAAGGATCGAACCAGGTCGTGCAACCTTTGTCTTTACTTAATTCAAAAGAATATGATACATTTTTGGTATTTCAAGGTTGATATGCAATCATCATCGAAGTCTGAACCAAGCAGGATCGCTCAAGTAATTTCATACATGTCCCTTCATACTTTCTCTGCTACCGTCTGCATTTTATGGACGTCGAAATGACACCCTTTGCATAGCCAACAGAACTGGTGTAGGTCCATTTTCAGATGCGCGTCTGGAGAATACTATACCCGTAAAAAATGCAGTGACGGTGTTAGAGGTGCTGAACTGCCTGTGGGTTTTGTTTTGCCCTTCCTTATGCTAAAAAGCCTGACCCCGCTTTATTTGATTCCTTCGATACTGCCATCGTTCAAATTACACCGATTTGGAATCACCGCCATTAAATAGAGACTGCACGTATGCACATTTGGCGTTGCGTGTCTGTTGTGCACGTATAACCGGCCATTATGGAAATATATTTTGCTCGGAAAACCGCATGATTCCTTACGAAAGCGTGGGGCGTGGTGCAATGCTCAAACGCCGGTAGGCAGACTCTGACCGGCGCGGAGGGTTATCGACCGGTGGCGGAACTTCTTTGATCCCGTGATTATACCCTGAGATAACAGCAGGTCAAAATACCCACCTGGCGGACGCGGTGGGCGAAACGGCAGGGTGTAACATGTGACCTACGGGTTGAGGCCACTGGACGGCTGAGGTCGCCTCATCATGTGGTTAGGAGACCGCCAAGTCGGCAAATTTCCCCGCCGTGCCCAGATGGGGGCGGGCCAGCGATGCGCACCGGGCGCCGTCTGCGGCCGCCTGGGCCGCGGTTCTGCGGGCGCTGCTGCCGGCCGGCGGACCGTGCGTGGGACTTCCGGCGGGCCGCGACCCGACCCCTGACCCTGGCCAGGGCCGGCCGGCCCGCGCGCGCGCGCGCGTCACTGCCGCCGGCCACCGAGACGCGCCCCGTCTGCGTCACAGACGGCCTCGTGACGTCCTGCCGGCGACGGCGACCGTGACCGGAGGGGAGCGTGCGACTCTGGGGCGGTCTCCGAGCGCGCGGACAGCGGCCTCCGCCGCCGTCGCTTCGCATCTGCTAAGGCCAACCTTGCCTGGCCGGGGTATTATTAGGACGGCGATCCCATTACGACAGGTTAAGGTTACCTAACTACGTCCAACGTCTGCAGTCCGGAGCTGAAAGTCAAGTTCATCAGGTGGTGGTCTTCTACAACTGTACACTTAACGAAGCGGCTGTATCGTCAGTGATCACCGATTTTTAGGATCATCAGCGTCGACATAAAGCATTAAGCACAACAACTATTGTCGTTTAAGTCATTCGGGGTTGTTGCGCTTTTCCGATGAGCTCGTCAGCGTAACATCCCTGTCGTGGTCTGTGTGAGAACCGTGATGTTGTTTGCAGATGGATGAGCTGAAGACGAAGGATGCTACCATGGCCTCTTTAAAAAAGGACTTCGACATCCTGAGGTCTCGAAACGATGCTGGCGTCAGTCCAGGGTACACTGAGCAACAAGTTCAGGTATGGCAGTTTTGATTAAGGCAAATGTGTCTGCCATTTGCCGCTCCTTCCGCACGACCGGCAGGCAGCACCTGTATGACAGGATCCTTTTCCCAGAAGCTGCGCCAATGTGGCTAGGTATAGAAAGGGATTCCATCCAAAAGTAATCTACCCAAATCTGTACGAACAAACTTAGACATGCATCTTAGACATACCTAAACTGACATCCTAGATACTGTGCGCACTTCCATTACCTGGAACATGACTTTGGGAAGTATCCATCAGGTTGCACAATCCGTCAAGAGTGTGTGCAGAACCTTTCCTGCTGCATGCGCTGACTCATTCGCGCGTATCATCACCCTAAATATGAAACGTTCCAATGACCGAACGTCTAAGCCGAACTTCATCGTCTTGCCCGAAACCAGCGGCCGTCTGTGTCATTCCGGCTTGCGAATCATTAATTCTGAGCATGGCCGCTAGATGCCAGTGTCCCGAGTCGGAGCTCGGCGGCTCCTGCCCCACTAGGCCGCGCACGGGCGATACGTTCAAACGACTCTGACCGGTGTGGCAGTGGGTCGCCGTAGAGGCTGGTGGTCGGGTTTTGAGGGCCTCCGGAGATGTAGGAGTGCTCCGCGGAACGCAATAGTGAAGTACAACAGGCATAACGCGCGCGTGCCTGTGGTCACACGGCACGTGCCTGGGGAAAACCAAATGAGGTGAGCTGTTCGGAGAATGCGTGCCTGTCTGCTGCCAGGGCCGGTGTCGTATTTAACTGAATGACATATTCCAGATCCCTGTGTTACCATTAATGGCGTGAATAGTTGCCAATTCCCGGCGTTACTGATGATTATGTTAACGATTTCCAGGTCACAGCGTCATTGCAACGCTTTTTGTTTTGCTTTCCAAAACTGCGAGACACAACCAAGTTCAGAATGTACTCATGGCTCACCATAAATTTAGCTTCCCTTACTGATGCATGTCGTCCGTTTTATCTTCTTTTGCAGCACATAGAAGTCTCATGAGCCAGAGCGTGGGAGGTCTATCTCCCTAATTCATGCTAATATTTAAGAGTGCAAAATGTTTGAGCTGTTGAGTGGTTCACAAAGCTGATTGTGGATAGAAACACGTCATGTTACTAAACTAATGTAGATGAAAAAAGCCCGACGTGCGTCACCAGATAATTGCACTTAAGGCTGCCATAATCTTGGCCGGAAGTAAGTACAAGCCAGCCGGGATTAAAGCGGCGTGCGGGTTTCGTTTGGATGTCCGTCAGATGGGGTCTGGTTCTCAACCCAGTAGCATTTCTGTAGCAATCGCAGAGCCAACGCTTGCAAAGAAGGCACTTAGAATATCGTGGTTTCAACGCCATTGGACCAGGGCGGCACCCTGGCGCCGTGGGGAAGTGGGACTAGCGTGCTTTTGGCCTTCAACACTGCAGCGTCTCTGTGGGAGAACAAATGAGCTTGGATTACGGAAGTACATCATTGCACAACCATGTTCAACTACGCTTGTCATCTCACTGCACCCCAGCATTGTTGACATGCTGCCGAAATGGGGATTTTAGCGAGGTAAAAGGTAATACATTCAGTTAAATCGTCTTCGATTTCAGCCGTTAATTACAGAACCAATGGACCGGAGAGTGGATGTCTATTTGGAGAGTACGCACAACCTCTTAGCAGCTGATCCGATTTCCAGTTTTGTATCATCGGCACCTATATTGCGCTGAAATGTGGTGGGGAGCTAAATATCAGCTGTGAGAATAGAATAACAACGGGCCAGACATAGCTGTCTTCTGGAATTTTAGATGGGACCGGGACCCATCAACGTCGTTTTACGTTTCATGCGACCCATCAACTGCAATCACGCTTGTAATATTGCACCCAGGAGTAATCGCAGACGGCTGTTTCGGAAGGCTCCCTCACGTTTCCTGGCATGGAACTTTGCGACAAGCTTATGGTTGATACTGGCACAAGCGGAGGAATAGTCCGCACAGACTGCGTGTATTCGTTTGGGCCCGGCCATTGCGTCCCAAGCGCGCTTCAAAATGACGTCAAGCTGACAACGTCTGGTCGTCTGAGTATATTGTCAGTTTATGTCATAGCAGATGCACAGGTAATATTGCTAATGCATAGCAGTATTCAGCAACGACATTTACACAGCTGAACATGACTGGCTAGGCTCCACTTGATAGATTCATGCCGTTTGTGTTGGAGCACACAAATCATCATGCCATAAGAAAACATGGCATGCAATATTGATATAACATAAGCATGCCAGAGCATATTACATGCTCCAACTGTTGCCATCTTCACATGGCTGAAATGAGTTACATAACTTGCCTCAGCCTGGGGTACGTGAGTGGTACGTAAGCACCAGTATATAACTGTGGATAGCACGCATAGAAAACGCATACGGTGCCTGTCCCACTGAACAGCATCACTGAAGCAGTGGGTATCGAGCTAGCCCGCTCTGAGTATCTTTAAACTCCCTGTAACTCCACAGGCTGGAACGAAGCGACAGTATTGGTAGGTGGCTACAACAACCACCTGTGTCTACATCGGATCCATATTTGCTTTGCAAAAACCGCTTCCGGTCCATTTGTACATTACAAATATCCCAGAGGAGATCGCGTTTGTTCGTGTGCAAGGCAATCATGACGCATTTGGACGGACCTGCAGGCATCTTACTGTAGGCGCTTGTTCTCTTGGTATCCCCTGTATACCACGCTGCAGCGCCGCATGCCTTGAAGATATCGCAGCATCGGGGCCTGCGCTAACATGACACTCCTTTCTGTTTCTGCATTCAAAGACAAACCTCTCTCATGGGGATTTCCAACTTTCAACGCAACCTTGCAAGGTATGGACCATTGCGTGTTATGTGGACAATGATAAATGCGTACGATCGTTTGCTTATATTCGTCTTACGTCACCTGAGATGCAAAACAGATTGCAGGAGAAAGTACTGCATCCTTGCCTCATGGGTATGCAAGGTCCAGTGGCGCCGCCGCTCGCCTTCGGCTATGGCGAGCGCCTCGTCGTGACCCAGCTAATCCGCAGACCTTGCTGGCGAAGGCAGCAGAGCCGGGTCGGGTTAGCCAGGCGCGGCACCCCGCACCGCGTGCAGCACGCTTCTGTGGCAGTACAGTCGGCTGCACGCAGTACCGACGGCTGGTGACTCGGCCGCGGCGCACGTGCGGTCGGGGCGGGGCCGCTCGGACTGGTGCACGCACGTGCTGCGATCACCCCGAGGCCGACACGTACTGGGCACGCAGGACAGGCAGAGCGCAAATGGTGCGTTGCTGTCATAGGCAGCTCAGCTCTGGCTTTGCCTTGTTATTGGAATGCTGTAAGGATCAGAGCTTATTTCGAAGCATAGTGTTCAACTGCAAACGTTCCGTAACCGGTAATTTGTGCATCGATGACGTCAACTCACAAAATCGGCTGCGGGCTGGCACATATTGACTCAGTGAGTATTTATGGACTAGGGTGGCTGAGGAAAAAGCGTGTCGGTCAGAAATTGCGTAAGTTTATGAGTCCTGCACGCTGCTCAAATGTTAAGACACACGACAATGTCGTGCCGCATGTCAATTATGCATCCGTTACAATACGAGAACACACCCCGCTGTGGTACATGTCAAAGTGGGTGCCTTTTGCACGCAATTTGATCGCTCTTGCCTCAGTTTATTACGTAACCTGCCGCATCTTTATCTGTTTATTCTCTTTCTCCCTGCTTGTCCTCACCAGCGTCTCACTTTCGGACCACGTCCCTCGCACCTTTAGACGCTGCGTTGACGAATGTTGTGAGTTGAGCACATAATCTGACAGCGGCGTTGTCACGCCGGCCGTGCTGGTGCCGTGGGCCGGCGGCAGTGACGGCGTGCCGCGGCTCGCTCGGGCCGGGTTTGCGCGGCCTCATCGCACGGTCGCCGCGTCTCCCCCCGCCGCCCGATCGATGGCTCACCCGGCTCACCTTTACACCGCGCGCTCCGACCGCGGCCCGCTCCGACGGCGAAAGGTTAAAAGGCGGCACTTTGTAGGTGTTTGAACCAAAACTCCTCCAGGTCTCTTTCTCATTCAGGCGCCTCGCGGCCTTTAATTGGCGGTAAACCGCTGAGGTGGAGCTTCAGACCGTTTTTGCTTCCTCGCCGTCGATTATCTCGACCGCTAGTGTATTTTGACAGAGCGCTTTATGACAGCATGATTGTAAATTGGTTACCTGCTGCAGATACCGTGCTCTACATTTCATTAACCGGTTTTATCGGTTTTGACATCCATGTTTTTATTTGGTGGACTATAATTGGCGTCGATGGCAAAACTACCATTTGTAAGGTATATCCATATGACAGCAGCGTCCTCTGTCTGTTCGATAGCTTATTTTAGAGTGTCAGCGTTACAAGCTGTGGCGCTCTCATTGCCCGATGGCATGGCTACTGTGACCATTTTTGGGTTGAGCGCAAAGGTACAATGGCGAATTAGCCGGCAATGGTCTATCCTAGCCGTAGTTGCCAGCTGTATGCATGCTGCTTAGCTCTGTTTCCCAGCTGTACGCAGGCTGCTTGGCCGTGTTTACCTATTGTATGCGGGCTGGCTGACTCCTGCAGTCAGTTCCTGTTACCGACGTAGCGGAGCGGCAGACCATAGCAGGGCGCGCGGATGTTTTCACACGAAGTCTACCATTCAAAAAGCTTCCTTGTTTAAGAAGTAAACGTTTGCTCTTCACACTTGTCTTTAGGCGTCATCGCATTCCCACATTGGCTGCCGATCCTCTCCGTCGGAGCCAGCGTTCCAGGCGGTCCGATGTCGCCGAGGTATGCCGGGCGTGTCCGCTCGCAGGGCGCGTGTCACCAGGCCCGAAGAGAACCTGACCCAGCTCTGGCCCGCCCTCCGGCCGCACTGACACTGGGCTATACGCGTGACATGCTGTTCGGTGCTTCACCCCAGGCTGCAGGATAAGGTCCTGCCATCTCTGGGGCCGCTCCTGTCACCCGTCGGACCTGTATTGTCCCTCCCCCGACGCTCCTG